GGGTGGGAATTATTAAACCACTCATGCTGAACAGGTCCCTCCTTGCATGTTCCATGGTGGGCTCCCTGTAGCATTTCTCCAACCTTAAAAGATGAAGCACTTAAAGCCTCTTGTTCTCCCCTGTAAACTCCAGATGCCAGCACCCAGGAATGATAAATGACCCAATCCACGCTTGACACCATTTTTGTGTTAACAGACTAAGGAAATTCAACAAAATCATCAGATAAATTTCATTACATGTTTATGATTAAAATTAATCTCAGCAGACTAGGGTAAAGAGGAAACTTCTTTACCTTGATAGAAGGTATCCATCAGATACCTAAAACAAGCTACATTTTCAATGGTGAATTATTAGAAGTTTACCCATGATACATTCAGAGCCCCAAAAAGTCATGAATTATTTGTTGAGTGTTTTCAACAATTTTCGTCATTTGTAAATATAATCATATATTTATAAAATATAAGAGAATCAATTATATTAGAAATGTCAGGCCATAAATGAGATCTGAAATGTGGCTGGATATGAGATTTAAAAAAATAATCTATAGCTTTCTTATAAATCAGTTATAATTAATTTAAATGTGATAAAGTAATTTAGTAATTATAGCAAAAAAAACTATAAAGTAAGTTAAAGTCAACCTAATAAGAAATGAGAAATCATCAATTTTTGGAGGATTAGACTGTTCATCTACAAAATAGGGAAAAGATACTTCTACTTCTTGCTTTTTTGAGTTTTGGGGAAGGATGAATAATTTCTGTGCTGGACCCTAAACACATGTCACAGGAGACCAGATTAAAAATTACCATTCATGAAAGAATGAGAAGTATTTCTGCTCATTCCCATCTGGGTTTATGGGTTTTAATCCATGGTCTCCTCTTGTCAAACAAAAGAATTATATGCATTGAGGGAGAGGGTGCAAAGATGTGAAGTTGAGAGAAGGGGGGACCTTTCTGGAGATGGGACAAATATGTGATTGCCTCCTCATGCAAGTAAGAACATGGTCTGATTCCCAAACAACCCTAGGGCATGGGGGACAGTCCCATTCCATGCAGAGATGGCTCACAGAGGCCTGGGACAGAGCCCTGACTATGGAAAACATCCAGGTGGCTGAGTGGGGAATGGGAGGCATGACATCACCACCCATAAATGGACCACGTGGACTTGGAGCAGGAGTAATCTTAATGCCAGCCATCAACACGGATGTTCTTCCAGATGTTCTTCCAGATGTTGTCTGTAGCTCCCCATTTGCCCATACAATCTGAGGGTGGGGGGCAGGCAGTCCCTCCCATGAAACAAAAGAAGCATAATCTGAGATTGAATTTTCCTTTTTTTAAGTAAGTGGGAGCTCTGAGCTAGGGTCCAACAGATCCATACAATTACAGAAATGTGATGTTTCTTGAAACCAAAGCAATGGAAACTAATGTTAACACGTGCATGATTTATTACCCTTAAATCATCTCTGTTCAGTGAGAGGGTAGGGTGGTTATGAGCATGAGCTTCAGGTTCAGGTAGATGGGTTTGAATCCAGTCTCTGCCACTTGCTCTGTATAATAAAAGTCGAGCATTTACCTTCTCTAAGTTTCAATGTTCTCATATGAAAACCAGGGAAAGTAATGATAGTCCCTTGGCATTGTGTAAAGATTAAATCATATTGTATAAGACGTATTAGAAGTGCTTGTCAAGGTGCCTGGTACAGAGCATGTGCTCGATAAATAGTCAGTGGTGGGAACACTTTACTGAGATCTGAAGTGGTATGGGGATGTGTCCATCAGCAGGAAGTTACTTGAGTTATATCTGGGCTGGTTGGTGAGATCGTCCCTAGAGGAACAGGCTAGCTACTTTTAGGTCAGGGAGCTATTTGGCAGCCCAGAACTCAAGGAAGTGAATAATACATGCCAATCATTGTAGTTGGGTTGGCCTCTAGGTTGGGGACCAGCTGGACTTCTGATCTCATGGGGAGAATGTCCAGATGTGTCCCCAGAGGCCCCAGGTTGCCAGATAATCACAAATGCGCCCTTGGCTTCATACATTTGGAATTTCCCAGAAGTCCACCTGTTTCTATCATTATGCTTGGCCAGAACTGCTATACCTTGATGAGATTGGGCAGGCATTGGGTTGCAGAGAAAGAGTAGAGGGGTCTTGGAAACAGGCCCCCTCTGTGTGATTATGTAGGGACCTTCAATTCCAGAACTTCACTGTTGCCATCTATAAATGAAGTGGACAATAAGAGGAAGAAAGAAGTCTTCATGTCTTGTCAAAGGGCAGTTAGAATTGGCTGCCTAGGGTGTAATGCAGAGAAGGGGCTCCAGGGGGCGGGTCAGATGAATTAGTAATCATGCAAAGGAGTCAGGGCCCCTTTGGTGGTGGAGTGGCTAAGAATGCCTCCAACTGGAATAGCCACAAATAAAATTGGTGGAAAGCATTATTGTATTTCATAGCTCAGGTGGATCCGCAGGATGGAGGCTGAAAGGCAAGGCAGGACCATATCTACCCTGTGGCCTTGGTGCCTGTTCAAAACTCACAGATGGCCAGCCGGTACTGCTGACAGTTCTTGTCATTCCACTTCCCATCTGTGTACATCTCCACACATTTATCTTTACCCTGACCCCCCGGCTCCCCTGGGTACCAGTTGGTGTAATTCACAGGGGCCCCATCCAGGTAGTAGAAGTCTCCTGGGGTGGAGCCCTCGGCCAGGCCCAGGTAGGTATAAGTGTTGTGCTTCTTCACAATGCTTGCAATGGCCTCATTCTCCTCTGGAGTCCTTGGGACAGCGATGTGGCCTCCTGCTCTGGCACATGACTCTCTAATGGCATCAAAATTGACCGACTTCCCATTGGTGGAGAAGACCTTCTCTCCCACTGCCAGCATGGACCCCTGCAAACTGAGAACTGAGAGCAGAGGA